AAGAACCAACTAACAAGTTGATAACAAGACCGCACATCCGAGACGTGTTGCGGACTCTGCTCCCCATAAATTTGCTCTATAAAGGACAATATTTGATCGTAAAGTTGTTGACACATTCACACAATGTCGCGAAGTTGAGATCTGCGACTATCTCGTCTCATACATTCTTAAAAATTTTGACTATTGCCAAAAAAGTTATAGAACTGCTATAAAAAAGTCCCATTTAGCGGATATTTATAAGCTGTTTCTAATTCTGCTATAAACAATTTCATACGATGATAAGGATTAAAAAAAAGATTATGCCTACAATTAACTAGCGAGCGAAGGTTGCATCACAGTTTCTTAGAACAGATTCTTTCAAAAAGAAAACGAATATAAGCATGAAATTGGTATTTATAGTGGAAATGAATGCAAAGAATTTTTGCTTATACACAATCACTTATCACAATGAACGACTAACTTGGAGCACCGCTGTGTATAATATCGTATTCAATGGAAATTTCTTCTCACAGAAATAAGAGAATTGTAAGTGCGAAGACAGTTCATATAAAGCAACTAAATGAAACTTGAAATGACTATAATATACCGCGTTGTTGAAACAAATAAGATTCTGTAAGCAATATAGGACCTTCACGACTGAAACTGTAGCTTGGCATTGGGCTCCACAATTGAGCAGTCTGAAGTTTGATTACATCAAAAAAAGACCATGCACACTTTGAAAAACCTTACCTTATTGTGTTAGATGACAAAGGGCAAAGATTTTGTAGACACGAATGACAACGTAAGCTCGATATGAAATCCACCAGATAGATAACCCAGAATATCGTAGAGCACCGGAATGAGCTAAATTTACAACGAAGTAAGACTTTATGCACTCGAATTATATATAATAGGCTTACCTGATCCATACTCTGCTTATATTTCAGTTGCTCATCCTCCATTCCACACCATGGAGAAACATCATACTCCACTTTTTCTGTGTTTACGCTTACGCGAACAGAAATGCTCCTAAATCATGACTTTTCAAGCATGAAAGAGTGCAGAAGCTCAAATATCAATTTTACTAGTCCATCTTATACAGAGTAAGTTTAAATTTGCAGCCCCAACCAGTACCTTACACAACCTCTATCCGTATGCGTAAGAGGGTTCAATTTTTCGAAACTTTGTGCAAATGAAAAGGCACTGAGATTCAAGCATTCAATTGTACTAAGACCGCCACATGCTGCTATTGCCATGCTCCAAAACAGCAATATGTATTATCGACTTCAAAATTAAATGGATACTAGAACCAAGCATGTCTTCTGAGCCCTCTCTTCTGTCTCCAATCCCCTAACCTATCTCCTCTCTCTCTCTC